AAAATAAGAATGTTATAAATTTTCGGAAAATGGGCGTAGCCACGCCCACTTATGGTTACATGTGTATATCTTGGTAACCGCTGTACCAATTTCTTCCAAACTTGGCATAGTTCTTGGCCTTCGCACAACATACCAAACAGCCGAAAATTTTTAAAATCGGACAATAACCACGCCCACATCCCATATGACGGTAATTTAGACAAATACGAAAACTGCGATATTTTAGTAACTACTGGAGATTATTCACTCAAAATTCATATTTACAATAAGTTTTAGACGAAAAATAAGAATATTATAAATTTTCGGAAAATGGGCGTACATACATGGGTTACATATGTATGTATATCTTGGTAACCGCTGTACCAATTTCCTCCAAACTTGGCACAGTTGTTGGCCTTCACACAACATACCAAATATTGGACCATAACCACGCCCACATCCCATATAACGGTAATTTAGAGAAATACAAAATCTTCGATAAATCAGTAAATATTAAAGCTAATTTATTCAAAATTGATGCTTGCAACAATTTCTTAACCAAGAAATACGTTTGCGATAAAATTTTGGAAAATGGGTGTGGCACCGCCCACTTATGATCACATATATGTATCTCGGTAACCATTCTACCAATTTGTACCAAACTCGGTATGGTTATTGTGCTTGCCACATAAAAGCAAAACGTTGAAAATTATTTCGTTAAGGTGAAAAACACATATTTAATACGTAATGTTCGGCTCCGCCCGAACTTAGACTTTCTTACTTGTTAATTTTAATTTTTTTGTTTTAACGCGGCAGCGACATCATGAATTTGTATGAGTTTGACATAAAAGAAGAGGAAGAACCTTATCTGTCGCCGGAAAAATAGAAATTGATCTAATCTGGCCACAACCACAGCCGTCGCGTAGGCCGTTCGTCGCCAAAATAATTATCTACATAAGAGAACGTGTTAAAATAACTAGAGAGCTGTGGTCTGTAGCTCGTCGTTTTCATTCTGTTCGGTATATTACTCATAAAAAATAAAGTAGCTTTATAAACTGAAAAATTTATGAAATGTCACTTTATAAAGCTCTTTAAACCTACATTTTTTATGAATAAAGCCATTATTCTGTATTCAAAAAATTAAATGTTTCAATGGAATTGAATTAAATGTTAAATATTTGAATAAATCATTTAGATTTAGATAGCGTTTTTAGCAATTTATTTGAGAAAAATAAAACATTTATATTTTTGTTTTGATTTTCATTGATTTTAGATTTGCTATCCCAAAATAATTGATATCAAATAAAACATCTCTTTGAGGTAAAGCTGAATGAGAAACACAAAATTTATGATATCAATTTCGTGACGAAAACTATACTAATTTATTTAACTGCTCTGGAAATAAATAAAGCTATTTTCCGTCAGAATACTTTCAGAGCAGGAGCGTTTCTGTCCATTCGAACGAAATGGCCAAGACAGCGGAGCTGCTGAATTTTAATTCGCTACACTATGTCCTTATCGTTGTAAAGCTCATACAGCTCATCGTAAAATCGTCTGCGGTATTCGCCATCGCCAACGCGTAAAGGTCCGTAAATCTTTCCCAGAATCTTTCTCTCGAAAACTCCAAGAGCCGCTTCATCAGATGTTTTCATTGTTTATGCCTCCGCGCCATACGCCAGCACAGGCATGATGAGTGACTTATAGAGTGTGATCTTTGTACGACGAGAGACTGTATTTCTCACTTGCCTACTCAGTCCAAAGTAGTACTTGACATTATTAGTCTGATCCTTTGAACTTCGGACTAAAACCTGTGGAACTGTCAAACTACAATTTTACGCTCTCAAATGAGAGTAAAAGGAGAACAGATGCAGAAGTGCATAGGAACGCAAAAAGCACTATTTCCTGTAAAAACGTCAGACGGTTTGTTTACATGTCATTGGTACTACACTGATTTGGCTGAAATATCACTAAATAATTATTAAAATCTATACATATTCCAATATTTCGTTGTTTACTTCCATTTTTTAACAAATATAAGGTTCTTTGCTTTCACCGCTTTCTGTTTTTGTTTGCACATGTAAATCAGCTGACCGTTTGACACTTTTCATGAACTTACAGGAAAAAAAACTCCGGACTAAATCCTGTAACTTCTGACTAGGAACAGTTGCTCAGTTACTCTCTCAAATGTGTTCCCACTTACAGGTTTTATGTCAATAGGAACGACTTCCTGTAAGTTCTGACTAAATCCTGTAAACCGGACTGCTATTGGAACAGACTATATTATTGTTGCTAATGCTGGTTCCCAAATAAACGAAGACGTCTACTTTTTCAAACTTGTAACTGTCAACAGTGACGTAGGTGCCAAGACGCGTATGCTCTGACTGTTTGTGTGATAACAGGAGATAACTCGTTTTGTCCTCGTTCACCACCAGACCCATTCGCTTCGCTTCTCTATCCAATCCCGAGAAGGCAGAACAGATGTAGCCCTTGTTTTACCGATAATATACATGCCGTCGGCATTGTACGCTCTTCTAAAGTATTGCGCCTGAGCGGTTCAGTTCTGCGGGGATACCAAATTCCGACATCGCGGCATAAAGGCAACTTCTCATCGTGCTGTCGAAAGCGGCTTTGAAATCGTAAAATAGATGGTGTGTGTCGATCCTATTCTCGCGGGTCTTTTCCAAGATTTGGCGTATTGTGAATACTTAATCTATGGTGGATTTGCCAGGCCTAAAGCCACACTGATAAGATCCAGTGGCGTAGCCAGGGGGGATTTGGGGGGATAGATAACACCCTACCCCCCTTCGTCATTGAAATTAAAGTTTTTGTTTGAATGAATAACACAATACTATTTTACCCTTCCGATTTTTAATTTTTTTATGTCAGACTGATGACAAATTATCTTTTAATGAATATATAAAATTATCTGTTGGTAGATTATTTATTTGAATATTTGCGAAATACCCTAGGCCATTTTGCTTAGTTCCCCACAGTGTTGGGAAATAATCTATAATCTATACAAAAACTGTACTTTTCGACTGTAAATTGTATCGACTTTTTAATTTGCTCATATGCATGCAAGCATACATAGATTCCCTTCAAGACCAATGCTTTGATGGTATTCACGGGAAAGTTTATGTAGGTACATTTACATATTTTACACTTTTAACATAAATGCCAAGGCAGATATTTTAAGACACACTTCTTAACAAACAAATTTTTTTAAGTTATTATGAATGGATAAAAGAGACATCTTCTTTGAATTCAGTATTAAAATTTGACATTTCAAGTGGTTATCAAAACTTTATACATGTTAACTAGATTGGCCATTTATCTTAAAATTATATAATATTAATTATTTGTTTGTAAAAATGCAGTATACACTTTAACAAAACCCTTATAAATCCATGGTTTAATCTTTGCGCAACATGGGTATGGGGGGATAGACCGCCCCCCTTCATCATTGAACTACAATTATTTACTTTTGAATTAATAACACAATACTATTTTATCCTTCTGATTTAAAATTTTTTTTTATTTCAGACGGATGAAAAATTATCTTTTAATGAATATATGAGTAGTCCACTTGCAAACAGCGTTATGTGATTTTATAAAAGTAAGCCATAAATTAAAAAAAAAAAACGTCTACGACAGCAAGTAACATCCGAACTGAATCTTTTTTTATTACCCGAAATAAGTATTATAGCGACTTTTGCAAGAGTAGTTAACATTTCATGCTATTTTGTTCAGAATATAGAAAAATTTTTCACTCTGCTGTTAGTGGACATGAAACCCACCAAAAACTAAAAATCGAAAAAAAATTTACATAGCGCACTTTGCAAGTGGACTACTCAATTGTTGAATATGCTATCTTATTTGTCTTTTCCTTTTATACTATTAAGGAGCGGCTGAATGTTTTAACGATGTTAGCGGTACATAATGATGTGTCGATTACAACACAAGAAGTAATTGAAAAAATGTGTGTTAAGCAACGAAGATTAAAACTCGCTTTATAAGTAATAAGATTTTGTAGACTTGTACATAAATAAATGTAAATAGATACGCGTAAATATATAAGTATGCAGATATATTCACTGTGTAAAAACTGAAGTGTATACTAACGAAACTTCTACAAAACAAAACTGGACTACACATTAATTAATTCAA